GGGGGGGGAGGTCGCCAGTAACCAGGGACTACCTGTGCCTGTGCCCGGAGCAGGCGTGGTTGATGGCCGTGAGGAGCGGGTAGTTCCCGGCCCGGCAGTAGGCGTTGTTGAAGTCGTCCAGGTCCAGAGCCCACACCATGGCGCCGCCGTAGCCGTTGTCGCGGATGAAGCGCACCTTCTCCCTCACGCTGAGGACGTTGTCGAAGCCCAGCCACTGGTTGCCGTACACCTGGCGGCAGACAGTTTGGTTGGAAAAATTAAATTGTACCCAGTTTGTTTGCTTTTTTAAAGAAGAGAAATATACCCAGTTTTGTTTTTGTTTTTTAAAGAAGAGAAATATACCCAGTTTTGTTTTTGTTGTTTAATTCAGAAATAATAGACCCAGTTGTGTAAAAGGAGGAGAAAAGTGCCCAGTTTTGTGAGAGGGAAATATTCAAAATTTTGTAAATGAAAAGGAAATGTCTTAGTTTTGTCAAAGAAGTGTCCCTAGTTTTGTCAAAGAAATGTCCGTAGTTTGTCAAAGAAATGTCCCCAGTGTCCGTAGTTTTGTCAAAGAAATGAAAATGGGGGAAATGGTATAGGTTTAACGCCCCTATCAACACTAAAAGAAATGTCCCCAATTCTGTAAAAGAAAAAGAAATGTCCCCAGTTATGTCAAAGAAAAAGAAATGTCCCCAGTTATGTCAAAGAAATGTCCCCCCGTGATGTCCAAGAAATGTCCCCAGTTTCGTCCAAGAAATGATGATGACCCACCAGGTAGGGCACGCGCTGGTCCTTCAGGAAGTGTTCAATGGCGCCATTGTTGACTATGTGACAGGCCTCGTAATAGCTGACCATTCCGCGGCCGGCCGTGTAGGGGCTTCTGGCGGCCAGTGAGGCCGGGGCTCCCACACCTCTGTTCCCGGTGGTCAGGGTGTAGGCCACGCCGTACAGGGGTATGCCGATCACTAGCTTGTGCTTGGGGCAGCCCTGAGGAGGGGGAGGGGGTTATAGGGGGAGGAAGACAGACACAGGGGTATGCCGATCACTAGCTTGTGCTTGGGGCAGCCCTGAGGAACGGGTGAGAAGGGAGGGAGGGAGACAGACATATTAAAGTTGTGTGGATCGCTTACCTTGTGCTTGGGGCAGCCCTGGGGAGGGGGTTATAGGGAGGAGGAAGACAGACACTGGGGTATGCCGATCACTAGCTTCTCCTTGGGGCAGCCCTGAGGAGAGGGAGGGGGTTATAGAGGGGAGGAAGACAGACACGGGGGTATGCCGATCACTAGCTTGTCTTTGGGCAGCCCTGAGGAGGGGGAAGGAGAGACACATGGACATCGTGAGGATCATAAGCTCGTGCTTAGGGTGGAGAGAAATGAAGGAGCGGCCGCACAGGGGTATGCCGATCACTAGCTTGTCCTTGGGGCAGCCCTGAGGAGAGGGGGGAGGGAGACAGATACAGGGGTATGCCGATCACTAGCTTGTCCTTGGGGCAGCCCTGA